TAGTTATGCTAGGAGAAAAAAAAAGAAAAAGAAAAAAAAAAAGAAAGAAACAAAGTTAAACCCAAACTGTATGTGTAACATGGTCTTTTCTAAAACAGGGGCAATCATTCATTTCCACAACAGCCTGCTGGAATCCACAGACACCCAGCAACCACTGTCCTGTCACGTGGCGGGGCGGGGGCAAGAGTTTGGAGGCTCATGGCCCTGACAGTTCCTTCCTGATGTTTATTTTCACTAGCTATTAAGGAAAAGGAAATTGTTGCTGTAACTTAAAAAATAGCTACATTGGGCTTTTTCAGCTTCAGGATAATCAGTTCACTGCAATTCAGCCCACCCTCAAATAAATAGGGACAGAAATATATATTGTTATTAATTCTTTTTTTTTTTCCTTTGTACAACATGTAAGTTGTTCTTATTCTCAACATAGTGATTTTAAAAGGATTCTGTGTACAATCTGTGTCCATTTACTGCAGTTCATCTTGAATCTATTCGGACAAAACTTTGCAGTTAAATGTTTGCATTACTAATACTTGATGTATTTACCTCTCTGTTCTCTAGAGTCTAATGGACTCATATTTTATACTGTTAGATATATTTAATCAGTTTAGCAAAGCAAATACAGGCTGAATTTTGCACTTCGAAGGTTTTTTGTTAATAGTCCAGAAAATTTTCTATATGACATGACAAATTTTTATGGAACTCTTAATTGGGCCTATTTTGTGTCAGTTTAGATATTCAGCACTTTCAAAAAGGTATTTAAATGCAGAGTTTAACCACTGCACATGCAGTGCTCTTTATTACTTCACATAGGCTAGCTTTAAACTCTCCATTTGTACATGACTTCAATATATTAAATTTGATAGACAGACATTTTTATGGACAATAGCCAAAATACATTTGTACTTAGACAAGTGAGAACATAAATGATGACTTTATAATCTACTTTTTAGTTAAGAATCCCTCAGAGTTTGGGCAGTCTGATTTGGAGTGTGTTTCTTTAGTTTGTGGCTAGATATTGTTCAAACACATGTAGTCCTACACAGGTTAATGCTTATGATTTGGGAACCAGGAACAGCATACGATTTCTTTAAATAGTAAAATGACTGAATATGTAACATTGTGATATGACTAGACAGTCCTCTTTCTTGATCTTGATTTGAACTATCGGGTGGCTTTCTGATCCTCTATGCCACCCTTCTTTATCTGATTCATCTAATTGGGGTAGTAAGGAATTTCCAATACTCTGCTTAGATGTAGATATCTACCTTTCTTCTGGAGAAAATGACACCTCCAGTGAGAGTCTTTCTATCCTAATATAGTGATCTAAGGCTAAGGGATGTTGCACAGTCTTGCTACTGCCTTCTTGCTACAGGAAAGGTACGTCATTTGTGCCTGGCAGTTCTGGTATCCAGACTTCTATTGGCATTGATATTGAGTCATGCAATGGCTTCTTCCTTGCCTGTTGGCCTGAGCTGTCTTTGGAAGGACACATGGGTACACAGGGAATCAGTGCACATCATCATCTTCTCTTGACATAAAGTTGGGATCTGACAGTTATCTGAACTGCTAATGCACTCCTGCCACAGTAATATCAAAATTCCAGCCTAAAATGGGTAGGATAAAGTGTGTTTTTTTCTTTATTGACAAAAAAAAAGGAAGCTTAAATTATATTTAAGATTATATGTTAAACTTGAAGATGAACATCATTAAATTAAATTAATTCCACCTTAAAGGGTATAGTCTCTGAGTGTTTGATGGGATTTGATACATCTGAAGGTAAGTTGTTTTGCTGTCATGTTTATCAGATGAGCAGTTCTTGTAACACTGTGGTTTTCTTTCATAGGTGACACTACCGTATGCCTTTCTTCACATGAGACAAAACTTGAAATATTTTGATAAAATGAGATGCTTGCGGAAACGATCAGCAGTGTCGTTCTTAGGAGTCCTTGTCATTTGCTTGCTGTTCATGAACTTGTACATTGAAGATGGTTATGTTTTGGTAAGTTTCTTAGGTGGAAGAAATTACCCTGGAATGACAGAACAGGACATATCCCTAGTTAAGCAGTAAAGTTCATAATTCCTGCAGTTTTCTCTGTTAGTGTACCATTAACAGTGGAGTATCCTCAAAATGTGTCCTTTATGATGAAGCCATCTTATCAATATATACCGCACACAGGGTGTGTCAGTAAGATCCTAACAGTCGTTTTCACGGAAGTAAAATATGTTGTTGTTTATTGGAAGCACGGGAGATAATGAATGTAGCAAAACATGGACACATCTCCGTCAGATATCTTCCTTTGAGTCAAAACATCCCCTGTATTTTCCGTTCTTCTGGATTTCCCTCAATTTTAGTGTTGAAAATCATCTACATCTGAAATATTCATGTGAGCTAGGAGCTCCTTTTTCAGTCCACACTGCAAATCTCACCTGTGAATACTGTATTAAACAATATTATAGAAATACTGTTATAGAAAAGAACTTACACTGATTCCATATATTTCAAGCTCCTTGCATGAATAATTTCTTTTTAGTGCTTTTATTCTGTGTTTTTCTCACTTTCTGTATCCCAGATTTGAGTCTGGCAGGTTCAGTACTACAGCATTAACAATTAGACATAAATGATACCTAGTGTAAGTTTATGATTGTAAAAAAGATTTATTGAAAGATCTGTGTTAGGAATTTCAACAAGTAAGCTACTGACAATGTAACCTAACTCTACAATTTATATGTTACCTATGGGTGTCTCCAGTACTGAATGCCCAGTAAGCTCTGAAGACTTGATTAATGGATTGAATTTCCAGTTCATCTGAGGTTGGATTGTGCCCAGTAAAAGAACATGGTAGTTTAATAACTGGAGCTTGCAAACAGTAAAATGACTAAACTGAATATGTAACATTGTGATATGATTAGACAGTCCTCTTTCTTGAACTTGAACTACTGAGCAGCTTTCTGATCCCGTATGCCACCCTTCTTTGTCTGATTGGGACAGTATGGGCTTTCCAATATTCTGAAAGGTGAAATCAGATGGATCTGAAAAAAAAATCATAGTATGAAAGACATGCAATACATAAACAGTAAAATCCTTACATGAATTTATCAAAACCATACATAACTCCTAGTAATTGTAATGTAAAATATTATTACTTATAAAAATATTGTACATATTGTAAATATTATTAATACTATCCTACCACTTTTTAAACCATTGAAAAGATAACACATGCTTCTAGCATGTTACTCCATTACAAACATATTGCTTTCTCTAATAGTACTTGCACTAAGGTTTTGCACTATGTTTTATTTATTCATCATTTCTTGGTTGTGATTGAATTTGACCTGTCTTATCACATTTTTTTTTCCCAGTGGTATTTTCCCTGATGTTTCTTCTCCTTTCATTAATTGCTTCAAAGTTCCCCAGATGTTTCTGAAAGTGCTTTTCTTATCACTGCTAATGGTGTTCCTCTTGGTTTGTTTTTGAAATCTTTTCATGTCCTATTTGCCAGCTCCCCAGATGGCTCCATGTCTTATTCTTAATTTGCACTTCCCCCCCCCCCTTTTTTAGAAATCCATTCTCTTTCATTGCTTCTCTCATCACAGTTCTGGCATGTTTGCAGTCATGTAGCTCCCAGCCAAGTCTCTTGCCAAGTCTCCCGACAGTTCTCCCAGATCTCTTGATACCTTTATGGTCCATCAAGCATTTTTCAAGTGTGTTAAGCTGTTGACTTTTTAGTTTATTTATTTATTTTTATTTTCAACTTTCCTGACCATGTCTGACAGCTCTGTTAACTTGTCTGGTGTGTTTTATCTGCTGAGGTAAAAGATAAGCTGTTTCAATGTTGGTGGTGAGGAGAGATACACTGGAGAATAACTTTCAAGGACAGCAGGCTAAACAGTTCCCCTCAGGGAACAGGAATCTGAAAGTCCTCAGAGTCCCAAAGGCCCTCTGACCTTCTAATTGTAGCGAGTGTCCTATTGAAATATCTCCTGAAGGTAACTGATAGAGGAAGGTGCAATTGACCCCGAGTTTCTCTTCCCAGTCTCAGAGAGTAGGCTGTGCAAGGGGATGTGGGGCTGGCACCTCTTTCACCAGATGTAAGATGAGATGAGTGGCCTTTTTCAGGAAGTTAGAACGGCAAAGTGAGATTCATTGTGGCAAATCTTAAGAAGGGAGAGAAGAACTTTCCTTTTTTGCTCAGAGAGTATCATATGTCCGAAGAATTCCTTCACTGTTTCCTGCACAGCATTTGCTGTGGAAATGGGAAGTAAGGGCCCACCTGGGAAAACTGCTTATGTTTGATAGAGGGTATACAGTGCTGATGCATGTGTGTCAGCAGAGCAGTTTAAGATGCTTCTTCTGCAGTGTGTGTACCACATCTGATCAAACATTTTGAAGACATACTGAATTAATAAAACCTAGATCACAATATCTGTATGATTTGCAGTGATTTTTTTTATATGTATTCTGAGTTGTAAGTGAACTGTAAGTGAAGCATGCCTTCTGCACTCTTCTATGAATACTAATCATTATTTTGGGCACTATGAAAACAATAGTATTTTAGCTGACACAGCATCCTTAGTGGAGCAGAGTATCTCTATAAAGAATGGAGAACTTCTGGCACTTCTTCCCATGGCACCCACAGGAACATCCCAAGCTCCAGCAAACACTGGAATGTAAGTTAGAGGTTAGTTGACAGAAAAAAGCCAGAACCATCACAGAAAAAATTAAAGAAGACAGCTAAAGACACTTAATCAAGCTCTTGAGCTTCACAGGCCTCTGCACAGTAGTCAGAGGTAGAAAAGCCAGATTTTAAAGTTTTGGAAAAATCCATATTTCAGTTTTGTTTTTCATTCAACAAAGAAATGAAAACAACAACAATTTAAAAAAAAGATTGTTAGCCACAAAACGCATTTCTTAAAGAGAAAAAAAAAAAAAAGGAAAATTTTGTGGTCGGTTTAAATATTTTGCTTGTTAAAATCAAAACATTTTGTCCTGACATTCTCTATTTTTAAACATTTTGAAACTTTTTATGTAGAACCCACTCAGCAGAACGGGTTTCCATTCCAAAACCTTCTTACAAAATTAAGAATTTTGGTGCTCCATTCTGGAACCAATGATACATGATGTTTTGACATTAAAGAAAGGCTCGTTTTTAAAAAAAAAAAGGTTTTGGATTAGCCCTTTTTTTTTTTTTTTCTATTTGACAGTTTTCACGGAAAATCTCCCGAAGTTTTGATGCCTTCTTTTCCTAGCCCATTGAGTTACATTTTTATCTGAAATCTGATCAATATAAACCTTCCTCTCATAACTTATGAGCAAATGCAAAGTAGCATAGCAGCACTAGAAAGAAATTACTGGAGAGACATTGCAGATCAAGAAAGCCTAACAGCGCAGGTAGATGCCCCTGGATGTCCGCCAAAGATCTTTACTAAGCTCAGAAGTGAATTATTTACTACTTCTATGAAAGAAAAATAATTAAGTTAAAATGAACCTAGGATCAGTTTACAGAAATATTTCTTTGTGCTATTAAATATATCTTTGACACATTTTTGAATATTTATACCATTAAATACGAATGCTGTTTCTATGGTGGTTGTTGTTACCAGCAGTACTATCACTGCACAATGCTCCCATTTAATGACAGATCAGGAAGTTTTTAGTGCATTAACATACTGTATATATCAGAAGAAATAAATTCATTCATATACTAGCCTGTTATCAGACTAGTATCAAGCAGTGTAAATTAAATAAGCATTCCTACCTTTAAGTTCAGTCTTGTGACACTACAACCTGTTAGATATTTTCCCTTTTCTTAAGGACTGAGGAATAGATTTTCCCTGAGACCCAACCGAGCTTATGGATAGGGCACTGCTGACGAAGCCGCTCCTTCCTTGTGTGATTTTACTATGGCTCAAGAAGCCTTTTGGAAGAAAGAGACAGGAGAAGGAGGTAGGAAGAGGAGGCATGGTGGTAAATTTGCCTTTTTTCTATACCATCAGCGTTCACCAAATCCAGAGAAAGCTTTGGCTGTCTGGATGATCACATACATTTCTGCTTATCGCGAATCTGAGTTGGAGCTACTCAGCAAAGTGGCAAAATGAGCCAGATGCCAGGACCCAGTTTCATCTTTCCTTTGCAGCAGTTTTGGTGGTTTTTTTAATCACTGAAAACATTTTCAAAAAATCTTGCCTACTTCACCGTCTATGAAAATTCTCTCATCTATCGCTGACTGATGCTTTCTTATCCCTATTTTGAATACCACAGCATTTTTTGGTAATAATTTAGTGTTTGCAACCTTTCCAGAGTTTTGGTCCAAATATTTTTTCTTCTTTTCCTTTTACCATAATCTGAAGGGTTATGGGAGATTTTCTGTAGCCAAAGATGTGTAATATTCAGTAATGGGTTTTTAAAAAATGAGGTGACATCTACATGCTTTCACTAAAGCTGACACTGAAAAACGTTATTCTTGGAAACCTGCCTGTCTGTGTTTCCTCTCTGGCTGGCATTCACAAATGTGTTTCTCTCTGTCTCTCTCCCTCTCCTATTCTTTTTGTTTTCTCACTAATAGGAAGGGGACAAGCAATTAATCAGAGAAACAGCCACGCACCAGCTCAACCCAGAGCGCTATGTTCACACTTTTAAAGATTTGTCTAATTTCTCAGGATCTATAAACATTTCCTATCGCTACCTAGCTGGCACGCCTTTGCCAAGGAAAAGTAAGTAACTGTAATCTGAATGTTATGAAATGAGGTAATTTAAAAATGGGTGAAATCCATATAGTTCCTATGGTATTTCTAGGCAAGAGGGTCTGAGTTAAGCAGTGACGATCTCAGAGAGTTAGCTATCTCTTTCTGCATAGGCAGTGCCTGGGCAGCTGCCAGTTCAGCCCCAGCAGTGACTGCCCCACAGCCTGGTTACCTCCTGACCCAAATGCCTGACTTGCAGTCATCCTGCAGGCAGCCCCTGGATGGTCTGTGTGAGCATATTTTTGTGGATCTCCCCCTAGGCCAGAGGGAGATGATTCAGGAAGCAGGAGCAAGGCACATGCTGGTGGTGCTCTGTAACCACCCTCCGAGACCATACTGTCAGCCTCTGCCTGTATAACCAGTAATTCTAATCTAAGGTATGCTTGGGATCACGTAGATACACCCTTCAGGTCCCCTGTTCTGCCAGTCCAGCAGCTGTGAATGGATCTCCTTGTTCCTTTAGCTGTGATAACAAGGGAGGTGAATTGTGCTATTATGGAGACAGTAAAGGAGGATTCTTCCTGCAGCCATCTGCAGATGGACTATCTAGTTATTCTGACTTCAGGCAGGGTTCAAGACTTTCATCTCAAAGTGAAATATCGCCATACCTAGCTTTTAGACAGGTGTCCTTTGGGTTCCAAATCAATCATTTCACAAACAAAAGCGAGGCTCAGAAGTCGAAGCACAGATGGTAAAATAAAATCATCTGTGATTTGTTGATCTTCATAGAAAACTGTAAAGTAAAGTTTGTTCAAATTAGATTTGAGAAATTTGGGGCTGTGTAGGCAGTGTGAATGGCTTCTGGGGGTTGTACTTCGCTGTACAACTGCATTTTGAGCAGACTTAAGCCTCGAGGGAAACTCTGAATCACTTTATCAGAGCAGTCTTTTACAAACCACAATATTTTAAGAAAGTTGGGGTAGGTTCAACTAAAGTATGCCCTGTCAATTATAAAATCTTTATATTTTTTTCATCAGAAGTTAAAAAAATGGAGATATATTAGCAAATATCTGAAAAAACTGATTTGGACTGCTGGTAAAAATGCAATGGCAGTGACTCCAAAACAGCAGAGATTAAAATTCTTCCTGTATAATTAAGATGCATCTCCCCCTAGAAAGATGTAACAGTATTAAAAAATATTTATACAAACACAGGTATGCACTAGTAAGTTCTCTTCTACTTTAAATCAATATCCAAATATGTTCCCTGTAAAATGTTCAATGAGTACTGAAAGAGGGTTAGAAGAAGAAAGGAAGGCAAGGAAAAATTGGACAAATACAGTTAAAAGTGAACACGCAGAAAGAAATTATCCATGCAACATTCATAAAACTGTAAAGTTATGCATAAGTGTAACTAGTCTTGTAGAGTGTTTAAAATGATAAAAGTTTGGCAATTAATCTATAGCTCACGTTTTTGTGCTGCATTTTGTAGTTCCTTGCTTTAAAAATATTGTGTGAATCTTACCTCATAATCCCCTTTCTTTTAGCGGATTTAACAGCCTTATCATTGTCTACACAGCTTCCTCTACCAGGCATATATGTGCACATTGCTTTGGCTTTTGTCCCCTACATGCCATTCCTTGCAGTTAACAAGTGAATATTTTATGCAATGTCTCCGTTTGCTTGCAGTATGATTTTTCTTTCATGAAAAGGCAATAAACATTTTTTGTTGCATGCAGCTTAATAAGTTCACATACCAAATTTCTCAGACTTCACCATTCAAAAGGTTTATTTAATATGAGCACAGCTCTGGAGGATATCTTTGTGGCGAAATGGTTTCCAACGTCAGATACTCAGTTTTTGTTTGAATTGTCTTTTGTACAGGGTATCTTACAATTGGGCTATCCTCTGTGAAACGGAAAAAGGGAAACTACTTGCTTGAGACCATCAAGTCCATATTTGAGCAGTCAAGTTATGAGGAACTCAAAGAAATCGCAGTGGTAGTGCAGCTGGCAGATTTTGACTCAGCCTGGTGTGAAGGGATCGTCCAGGATATTTCACAGAAATTTGCACATCACATAATTGCGGGCAGATTAATAGTTATTCACGTCCCTGAGGAGTATTATCCTGTACTGCATGGCCTCAAGAGAAATTACAACGACCCAGAGGACCGTGTGAAGTTTCGATCCAAACAAAATGTAGATTATGCCTTCCTTCTTAACTTTTGTGCTAATCTTTCTGACTATTATGTGATGCTAGAAGATGATGTTCGCTGTTCAAAGAACTTTTTGACTGCTGTTAAGAAAGTAATTACCTCACGAGAAGGATCCTACTGGGTGACTTTGGAATTCTCCAAACTGGGGTACATTGGAAAGCTTTACCATTCCCATGACCTCCCACGCCTGGCCCATTTTTTGTTGATGTTTTACCAAGAAATGCCTTGCGATTGGCTGCTCATCCACTTTCGTGGGCTGTTAGCTCAAAAGGAAGTGATACGTTTTAAGCCATCTCTGTTCCAGCACATGGGATACTACTCATCTTACAAAGGAGCTGAAAACAAACTAAAGGATGACGATTTTGAAGAGGAATCATTCGATATCCCTGACAACCCACCTGCAAACCTGCACACCAACATGAATGTATTTGAAAACTATGAGGCAAGCAAGGCTTACAGCAGCATTGATGAGTACTTCTGGGGCAAAGCTCCTTCTACTGGAGACTTCTATGGGATTGTATTTGAAAAGCCCATTAAAATCAGTAAAATTAAAGTTGTCACTGGAACTGAAGACCGGCAAAATGACATTTTGCATCATGGGGCCCTGGAAGTAGGAGAAAAGATTGTAGGGAGTAAAAAAGGGAGACAATGTACTACTTACTTGAGACTAGGGGAATTCAAAAATGGGAATTTTGAAATAACAGACGTAGAGCACAAAGTTCTGTTTGATATTAACTGCATGAGAATACTTGTTACCAAAAGTCAAAAAGAATGGTTGATCATTAGGAGCATTAGTGTCTGGACTTCACAAACACCAAATCAATAAAGCAAAGCCACCTGAGAAGGTACAGAGTGTATAAAATCAGCTGGGTCCCAACTGGTGCCATTCCCCAGAAAAATGGACTTATTTCCAACTCTTTACTAGAGACGCAGAAAATCTGGGGAAATCACAAAACAAGCAAAGCAATTTATTTTTTACTAGTTTGGCCAGGCAATATACAAACACTTATTTGTTGAAAATTTTGAATTTTATAGGAAACGCAAAGTTCTCAAACCTCTCTTGAGATCTTGTACCCCTTTTTTATTATCATTTCTCTGTAAGAGAGATCTGCTGGACTAAACAGAACAAAGCAAAACATCCTGTAATTACCAAAAGGTTTAAAGCTATGACCAGTATATTGTGAAAAGAAATTGGGTTGCACCTTACACATACGTAAATTTAAAATGTTATGGTAGTATGCGTTTGTACAATAGCTGGTGATGTGTTTCTTTTAAAGGCAGTTGTGACAAGGAAATCTGTCCTGAAACTGGCAGTATCATTCTGAGCACTGTAAGAAAATAGTGTGGCTAATCATTGCAACTTCTTTTCAAAAGGGAATGTATGTAAAATTATAAATCTGACATGACAACTATGTAAAAAATAGATAATTGCATCTGTTATTCTGTCTCAACAAATATCCTTTGTTCTTTTTCCTGGGTCCTTTCACTGAAATGAGCACTACTTGGATTCTATATTACTTAGGGGACCAATTTACTCTCCTTATTTGAACAAAATGCCTCATAGTCAGCAAGCATTCTGCTTGAGTACAGATGTCACTATCAAACCCAAGCACCTCAAGGGCAACACTATTCTTTTAGACAGGCATCTTAACAGATCTCAGCTTCAACATTTTCTGTTCCTTCACGAGATACAGAACTCCCCATGAGAAACTGCACATAGCTGAATACTGTAGCATGCTTTCCAAGGACTGTTACGCCTTCCATATCTACATGTCCAGTCCATGTATGATACAAACGTAAAGTGTACCAGGTTAATCAATTGGAGGTGAATGTAACCACCAGTCTTTCCTGGATGATCTCTTCCCAATAGAGCCGATGCAATATGAAGAATCTTGATTCAATGAAAAATTAGTATGTTTCTAAATTAGTTTTTTTTTTCTTCTGTTTTCTAATCCTGATCATGTTAGTTTTGTAGACGTCTTCCCACTGCCTCTGGTTATTCCCTGTAAGCTTATTTCGCCTGGCTTTAGCCAATAAGCAGAAAAGTTCCCACAGTCCTCATGACTTCAGTGTCAGCTCTGGGCTTTTAGGGAGGCAGTATAGCTACATGATTTATACGATATGCATACATTTGGATTAGCAGAATCTATGGGGTTTTTCCCTCTAAGAAATTCTCCAGACTCTTTTAGGAGACACACTAAGAAATCCATGAGTATCAAGTGTGACACAGATGAACACTGTATTGTCAATCTCATGAATACTGTGGTTATCATCTAATTGCATGTATGGGTTTTAGTTAAACCTGGAAGGTAAGGATTAAATTTCAAGAATGGCTGCACTGACCAAGAGTGAACTAAAGACTGTACTCAGTACATCCAAACCTAACATGGCTATTTCAGAAGGGTAAATTATTCAGAAATCTACACAAAACAGCAATGCAATTGCTTTTTCTGATTCATGAATAAATTCAGGTCCAGGTTTGGCAAATCCCCCTGTACAGAGGTAAGGTACATTTTAAAATAAATCTTCTGATATATGCTTCTACATAATTCAGAAAAGCATCCTCTTCTCAAAGAAAGTCTTTGTTTCTTTGTTCCTTAATACACACCTAAATCTCTATTCTTCATATACATATCTTCAGTAAAATAAATTAAAAGCAGCATACATGTTCAATCTGAAAAGGAAAATAACACCATTTTTAAAAATGAAAAATACATGCTAATCTCAAATGGTTGTAAATACTCATGAAGAACTTGCTTTTTAGCAGTGAGCTCCCATGATTATCAAAGAATTAGTTGATAGTCATTAGTCAACACAAATTTTTTTAATGAACTGTCATTCTTCGATTTTTTCTTTCCTTGATCATTAACTATTAGTGCCAAAGCAAACATAACTAGGTTAACCAGGAACATTACCTTTACTTTTATTCAGAAATGCAGTATGTCCAAACCAATCTTCTAAATTAGAATGGAAAATATACTCAATCCCAAGGTTTAAAATGTTCTTGTAATCAAAACCATACACAATGTGAGTGGCTAGTACAAATTAAATGCTCTCAACATAAGCCTGAAGTAATTTAAATGGTATTTTTGAATTAAGAGCTGAACAAAACTTCTTTTCTTTTTAAAACAACAGTAGTAATGCGTCTCATCTTCGATATCATGGCTTAGCAGTGAGAACTCTCATCTGGCTGTTACCAGTCTGAGAGGGTGAAACCCACAAATGCCAGTGTGAATGCCCTCAAAGGAAGCTTTCCTTGGGTGTGGATAGTGATATGTGCTGGGAATGAGAGGCATGCACTACTCTTTCTGTTGAATTTGAGTTGATTTGGAAAAAATAATTAAAGATACATTTATTCCAGGAGAGGCAAGAATGCAGTTCTGTTAGCTAGTGTTTTGAGCACTCACCTTAATGCATGGGTTCCAGCTCCTTCTTCACAGAATACATATTTTATCCATCTCATTTTCTTTTTTCCACTGATTAAGCAAAAGATTAGCAGTGTCACAAAGCTCCGTTCATTGGTGTATAGAGTTGGTTCTGTTGGTGTGTGGACTGAACATCAATATGTTCATACTGAAATGCCAATACTGAAAAAATTACACTGTGGTCTGCACACTGATGGATCTATTCTTCATACATGTATTGTTCCTATTGGCACTTGGGATTCCTTATTGTATAAAGTCCCTAGGCCTTTTTTTCTTTTCTTAACTAAAAGCCAGTTTGTCTTCTATCTTTCTTCACACAGTATAATCCCTCTGACATACAGAATTCTTGGGAAGTAAAATACTATTCACTGTGAATTCAAAGAAGAACTGAGCCCTTAGTTTAGTGCAGAATAAACAAACCCAGAAGACAGTAATTTTCAGGCAAAACAGTTTTAGCATATTTATTATATGTACTATAACAAAGATAATTCACTAAGGTGCTATATGAATGTGTTATTTTTAGATCAATGTTCTAACATGATGCTCTGTTTTACTCTCTGCTCAGTATTCACTTGTGTTAGACACTAATGTTTTTGCTTTTACAAAGGGAAATCAGAAACTTGTTCATTATTGAAGTATTAAAAGTTAAATAAAGAGCAAACTATAACACCTATAACTATATTTCATCTTGGAAAACTATTAAAGAGAAACAAAAAAAAAGCATGGTTAACCATCTTAAAAACTGCAGATGCAATCAGCTTTCATTGTGAAGCATTTCAGAGATTCTGATGGAAATGATAGTTCTTACTACTGTCACATTAAATTTGCAGTCTGTCAGGCTACATTTCAATAAGTATTAAATTATGAGTAGTAATGCAGATCATGTATTATGAGCTCAAGCAGTGTCGTATCCTCAAATAGTACAGTATAATGTTTTGCAAAACACAGGTGGAAAATACAGATGTATTATAATGAAAGCAAATTAAGTGATTTTCATAGAATCATAGAATCATTAA